AGGGGGGCCGGGGAATGCCGGGGAAGTGGCTGGGCTGCCGGAGCAGGCGGGCCGCTGCAGCGGGAGGGGTGGCGCGGGGGGCACCATCGCAGCTCCGAGCTCTGCCACTACAGCAGAGGCCAGCAGGGAGCTGAAACACTCCTCAGCCTTGCGGATGGGAAGCAGGCAGTACTGCTGGCAGCTAGCTCAGCCTGGTGCAGGCAGGGCACAACCATGCAAAGGACTATTAGGATGCATGCATGAAGTGCTTCAGGAATATTTCCTACCTGACTGGAAACAGCCTTGCAGTTTGGACACCTACTGCTGCACGGGGGAGGGTGTCAGCTTGAGAGTCAGGCTGTGGGAGGAAATATAGTGCCTTCAGTGTTGGGCCTTGTGGTGATGAAACAGGAGCCAGGCCACAGGGCAGGAGACGTTTATCTGTGGGGTATGAATTAACCGAGTGCCAGACAATAAGGCTTTTTTTCTCCCCAGCATCAGTGCATTCAACAACTTTTGGGAAGGTGGTTTTGCATCTCTCCCTTTTCGATCAGAGTCTCTTTGGTTTGTCTGTTTGTGAAATCTGCAGGAAACACTGCAATACCAATTATTAACATTCCTCAGAGGGTCTCCAGATCAAGCACAGGAGGAGGGAGGTTAGAGGAGATGTGCTTATTTTGTCCTGCTGGCACTCACCAAAACTGGTTCCTGCTTGGGTTCCCCTGACTGCTCAGCTGGAGACAGGCCTGCAGGCAAGAAAGGCAGAGGCGAGAGCACCTGTGACAGAGGGGACAGCAAAATCTTTCTGAAGCTCCATGTGCAGAAATGAAATCCCTGCCTGCCCCTCTCCCAAGCAAGGAGAACAAAGCAATGGGTTAAGCAGTGGGAACCAAGAAGAGGTGAAGTGACAACATGCCGCCTGCTAGCCAGGTCGGCACATATGGAAAATGCAGGAGCACCTTGCTGGAAGCCGCCAGGGCTTCGCAGTCTCTCCTCGTTTTCTCTCCTACATTCTGCCCACACAGAGACCCAAGGTGCCAAACTCACATCAGTCCCAGGGGATGTGTCAGCTGCCGGCATGTGCCAATCCTATACTGGGCACTCCTCGCGTGGTGGCTCTCCTCTCCTCGAGAGCTCCTGGAGGCAGAGCCAAGGTCTCTTGGGATCTTCCTCCCTGAAGCGAGAGCTGCTAGTGGTGCTTTTCAGCAGCATGTTTTCAGTGTGGTGTCCAGCACTGGTGACGCGTGGGGGGAGCCTCGGGGCAGTCATGCTTGCAAAGCAAAAGGCATCACTGGAGCTTGCCCAGGCTAATGCACCCATCGCTCCTCTGACCTCAGGGCCACGCTGTGACCATGTCTGAGCTGGAGAAGGCCATGATTGCCATCATTGATGCATTCCACCAGTACTCAGGGAAGGAGGGAGACAAGCACAAGCTGAAGAAATCAGAACTGAAGGAGCTAATTAACAACGAGTTGACCCACTTCCTTGGTGTAAGTATTGCCCTCTGCACAGCACGCCTTACTGGGCTGTGGGAGCCGTGTCGAGCAGCTGCTGGGGTCCGCTAACTCCATCTCCCATGAGAAGCAAGCACAGGAGAAGGGGTTTATTCATGCAGCAGTGCGTTAAACACTTTGCTCGAGCTCCGCAGGAGCAGCAGGTGGCAGGACAAGGGCAACAGCCTGCGCTGGGGACTGGGGTTTGGGTTAGATACTAGAGAAATTTCCTTCCCTGGGAAGGGGAGACAGCCTTGCCCAAAGAAGCTCATGATGTCCCTTCCCAGCGGCACAGCTGTGGCTGTGATTCCTGCTTCAGGAGGGCCGCTGTTGCACAGATACTGCTGCAGGCATAGGGTGGTGCCCCAACACAGATGGGAAAAAGCAATGAGCTATTTAGGATGTGTCTGAACAGATTGAGCCATGGGAGCACCCAAGAAGCGGGGACACGTTACTGTCTGGCCCTCGCTCTGATCCTCCCCAGCTTCGGCTGCCTGTTTCTATCCCTTCAGGAGATCAAAGACCAGGAGACTGTGGACAAAGTCATGGAGGCGCTGGACAGCGATGGGGATGCAGAGTGCGACTTCCAGGAGTTTGTAGCCTTCATTGCGATGGTCACCGCTGCTTGCCATGAGTTCTTTGAGCATGAGTGAGATGGTGGGAAGCAGGTGAGCACCTCCTGCTCATGCCGGAGAGATGCAGTGCAGCATCGCTCCTCCGGGAAAAGGACTGGGTGCAATTAGGAGCTCCTTGGAGTTAAGCTTGTGCTAGACTTAAGCAGCTTATTAAGTTCTGTGGCTTTGTGAATAAGAAACATCTGCACAGTTCAGGAAAGCTTATCAGCCAGTGCCCACCTGGCTGGATGCAGTGTGCGAATGCCTTGTCTCAAGCTCCTTCCCTGCTGCTGTATGCAAGGGACATGCATGGGGCTGGAGCCAGGTGGACGCTGTGATCCAAGCTTGCTTGCAAAGGGAAAAGGGAAATTCAAGGGCTGAAGTAGGAGGTGATGCAGAGGGGCTGGTTACAGAAGCCTGGTTCTGAGCCCACTGGCCTGAACAGAAAGGCTCCCGTTGATTCCTGTGGGCTCTGACCGCTCTTGTGCATGGTACTAACACAGGCAGCACAGCCCCTGTCCCGTCACAGGGGCTCAGCAGAGCCCACGCATTTCTTGGCAAATTGAGACACCCTTGGCTTGAAAGGCAACGCATAACCATCTAATAGCCCAGGCTTTTCTCTTGTCGATGAATCCTGCTTTCAGCAGCCTGCAGAACTGGAAGCAAAAGCATATGAGGCTCCTGGTCTGGAGACAGTTTCTGGGCCTGGGATGTGCCTTGGCAAGGTCTCCAGGCTCAGTCAGAAAGGGGAGGATCCGCCCAGTGTGACCACAGTGATTTAACATAGACCAGGCGCAGCCTCCGGAGTGTGTGGAAATGGTGAGAATAAAATGTTGTTTCGGTCTCTGGGCCACAATTGGTCTCTGGTGAAAAATGTGTCCTTTTGTCCCAGGCTGCGTGCAGCTCTCCCCGGCTGCCCTGCGCTGTCAGAGGGGAAAGCTGGAGGATGCAGCCTGAAGCACTGCTATGGCTCATGGTCCTGGGTTTCTTGTTGGGCATCGACCCTTCATCTCCTCCCTGGCATCACTGTGGCTGGCCAAACAGCTCAAGGCTGTCACCACCACCATGCTCCGCCTGGCTGTCCAAACTGGCAGATGTACCTGCGAGGCCAAAGGAGCGCAATGCACCTCCGCGGGACTGCTGCTGTTCAGGATGTGTCTGCTGCTGCCAGGGTCATCCAGGGGCTTGCACTGGTGAGCCTTTGCAAAGCGAAAACTAAACCTAGGACAATTTCCCCGAAGCCTATGCTCCTGCCTTTTTCAGTCTGCACTTGCCATCCAGCTCAGCAATACCTGCGAGTTAGGCATTCATGACTAGCAACATCTATAGTGACAAATTCACAACAAAGATGCCCACAGATGATGTCATTTTTACCTCATTCCACATTTCATAATGATTTCACGCGCAAAATGACATGTCTTCAGACAGGGACCATCTTGCTATTCTCATCTGCCACCCCCAAGCTGTGAAAGGGGACACTCTGGCAGAGACATACGTACAAGAAAGACAATGTCTTGTACTCCATCTAGAATTAAAAAAGCAGTTTTGCCAACTCAGGGTAGTGCTCATTTGTTAAGAACTTGTTTAGCATCCAAGTTATTTCCACCACATTTTTAACATCCTCATCGGTTCTTGGTTCAACTGTTTCCAACACTCGTATGGACCTGAGGCAGTGTGTGAGGATAACAAATGGGGACACTGTCTGTCCCAGAGTGTCCCCAGGGTTAGGCAGGGCAGACGGGACTCTCATGACCCTCTCTCGAGCCTAAACCTGAGCTTCACCAGAGGGGTCTGATTCAGCACAAGGGTCTGCAGGTGAGGCTGTCTGGCAGGTCTCTAAGTCCTACCTGCCTTCTGCCTCACCACACCAGCAGTGCTCACACGGATGAGGAATCCTTCCCCAAGACTGAGCCTTTTCAGCAGCTCTGCACAGCATCACAGCAGCAAAGAGCTGTAGGTGTAACATGCGGCTTCAACGCTGGCAGAGCCGGTGAGACACAGCAGTGCATCCTGTTCCTTGATGAGCAATGGGAGAAGGAGTGGGGAGTGACACAGTATGACTGTACATGTTTCTGGCAGTAAGGCTGATCCTGACTTAGCAACACCACTCCTGGGAATTCACAGAGGCTTTACCTGGCACAGGAGAAGGCGCAGCAGAGCTGGTGCCTCTTGTCAGGGAGGAAGACAGCGTGTCTTCCTTTGAGGTGAGCACCATGACTGCCAGCGGTGCAGTATGCGGTGCTCAGGCTGCTGAGCCCCAGACACTCCTCCCCAGTCAGCAAGGAAAGCAGAGCTTTCCTGAAGTGAAATTCCTGAAACAGACTGCGTGGTCACAGGCCTCAGCGCCACCTCGTCTACACTGCAGCTCTGGTCCCGTTGTGTTCTGCTGCTCTCTGACACAGGCGGTGCCTCAGCTGAGAGCGCGGACTGCGGGGACAGCCACATGCTGGCACGGTGGGGGAGGCAGGCAAAGCACTTTGCACAACACTGGCCCAAGCACATAGCATGAGGTGCCTCTGCCGACAACTCACCACTGCTGATCCCTCCTGCACGCCGCCCCCTCGCACGCACAGGCACAGCCAGCTACCCACAGCACCTCTGCTAACACCTTGGGTCCCCATGGACCCTGCAAGCCCCCTGTGCCCAGCCTAGAAAAAGGATGCTGCCATGCCAACAAGGGGTTTGAGTAGTGCTGTGAGGGGCTCAGAAGCACAGCGAGGCTTTCTGGGGAAAAAAGAAAATCACTCAAGCTTTAAAGCTGACCAAGAAGCAGGTGTCAGAGCCTTGCAAAGCAGACATCACAGCCAGCTCTGAAGGAGGCTCAAAAGGCTTAAGCAACTTGCTAACCTCCCAGCAATGACAGGCTAGATACTTAAAAGTGCCAGTCCTGACACCACTAGTTTTCAGGCTCTGGCAGGGATAGTTCACTCTTCAGGAAGGGAAGGTGACAGGCTAATGACGTTGTGAAATAATTTTTAGTTATGCCCTCATCCCAGCCAACAGAATCAGCCTGCTGGATACCCGAGGTGTGTGCGCTCTTACAATACCTCACTGGCACTGGTTAGATTGATCTGACATTGCATCAATCCCAGGAGAGCTTAGAAAATCCACATTTTTGTCGTTAGTGCAGACTGGCACATTGACAACCTGCAGAAAGGCTGTTTTGGTAACATGGAGCTCAACAGAGGATGCAAGTGAATTTCCCACCAGGAAGGGCACCAATGGATGGTTTCTTATATTAAATGCCCCATCAATACAAGAACTACTTATCAACAGTACTAATAGTGAAACAAAGAGAAGAAAGTACAACAGCAGGAGGAGCCTGAGACGTTTAACAGACTCAAATTAACTTCACAAACTAGAAAAGTAACAGATGGGGGCAGATTTAGTACAGACATGCTCTATTGTACCCCTGCTGAATTACATTTTCATAATTTAAAATGCTGCCATTACTGTTTGCTCCGGCAGATTAGAATCTGCACTTTTACTCTCTCCCCAGATAATTATAGGCAAAGCGCATCTGTGAAAGATCCCTCTCTCTGGATCAGACGCAAAATTTCCAGCACTGGAAGAGCACTTACAGACCCCCACAAAAAAGTTCTTCCATGTAAGATCTAATTTTACTGGGAGCGCTGATTATTGCTGTTAGCACATCTGAAAAAACATATTCTTCATCTGTCGATGGGATGTGCATTCAGGCTGAATCACTCAATAGCAGAGTTCATGTGTTGACAGCAAGAAAAATAATTTATCTTAAAAACAAAATAGGATTTTTCCACAAATCAAATGCGGACTTTTACAGACTCAGAGAAAGAACATTCCTGACCTTGTTGGATGGAGTAAAGCAATTGTGTAAATAAAGCACTGCACTGCTGGGCCGTGTCTCCCACGCATTCAGAACTCTGCGTTGCAAGCTGTGGCAGCGCTGAGAGGTGCTCCTCCATGCTGGCAGTCTAGTGACATGGAAGCAACTTCCTGCTCCCTC